GGTTCGCACCGCTTCGGGCAAACTGGTAGCAAGGATTTGGCATGGGTTGCCGAATGGTAGTAAGTTTGGGCTGGCCATGCCCCTGACCCAGTCAATCAGTTGCTGCTGGCTCGCTTGCCCTGCTTGCCCGATGCCCTCTCACCCCACCCACCTGGCGCTTGGCCCTTAAGGTATTTCTTTTTTCCCCCTCACAACAATCAGCTGTTCATACATCAGCTGTGTTGGGATTCCCGTTGCTGAGCCCCAGGAAGGCAAAAAATGGAGTGAGGGGCTCAGCCTCCCCTCCATTTTTTGCCTTCCTGAGCCCTGGGGGAGCCTTTTGGGAACAAAAATGCCCCCCAGGAGGGTTGCCTGAGGCCCAGAAGGCTCCAAAACAGAGTGAGGAGGGTTGCTGTGTGCCTCCTCCAGGCTCCGCTTTTTTTCTTCCTGAGGCCCAGGGGAACCTTCTGGGAGCAAAAACACCCCCCAGAGGCTCCTCTGAGGCCCGGAAGGCCCAAAAAATTTTGGGGGGCGGGGCTGCAAAAAAAAAAAAAAAAAGCCATGCCCATCCAGCCACATGGCCACACCCACCTAGCCACGCCCATCAAGCCACGCCCACAGAACCTGTAGTAAAAAAAAATTGAAGCCCACCACTGGGGCAAGGGATAAAAATTAAAAAGAAACTTAGAGATTTAGATTAAGCCTCACTTTCTGTTGAGTTGAGTCGGAGGCCAAGGGAAATATCAAGTGTAAATGTTCAAGTACACTTCTGCTCTTTCACAACATGTTACTCTTCAGTATACTGGCTTTGTAGAAGTCACCAATTTCGTCAGGTGGTAAATCTAAATAAGAGTTCCACTACGCAAACAAATCTTTTTGAGTGTGACATTTTCACGATCTGCTTAAAAGGTGCCAGGATAGACATTCTTCTTATTAAAATATAAAAAGTGAGAAAACTGTTCTAGACATTTGCAAGTAAGTATGTGGGTTGCAGACACTTCATTCTGTCAAATCTAGCTAGGGAGACCTTTTTAAAAAATTGTTTATTATTTCACTTTCTGATCACTAGGTTTGCCTGTTGAGATAATGATGGCTCAGAGTGTGTTGGATAAGGAGGCAAGTGGAAAGCAGTCACTTTTCAATAGTTTAGACCGCTTAGACAAAATAAAAAGACCAACGTAGCACCAAGTCATTTCTTGCATATTAAACTTAGCACTTAGAGAACAACATGTTAAGACTTTTTACACAATCAGATTTCTTCTTCTTTTTCCACTCACAATAAGTTGTTCTTTATGTATGTAGAAGCACACATACTTTCTTGAGTTTGGAGCCATTTAGGATCTGATGGGGAGGAGCAAACAACAATTCAATTTTGTCCTGTAATTTGGATGTCATTCTGGGCTCACATCTCCTGCAGGAAAAGTGAGTTGAGGGAGACTATTGTCCAAGAGAACTTTGGCCCAACTCTGCCTGGGCACCAGTTGCAGCTGTAGGCAGAACAGAGGGCAATGAATGTAGTCCTTCTCGCTCTTGTCATCTCTTGTATGGATTGCTGAAAATTATTTTATGTGGGGCCATTGAAACCATGCCCTGGAAGTTTTAAGTAGTATAGAGAACAGGAGACTATATGCTTATTGGGCAGTCTTGATACTTCTGCTACGTGATTTGTATAGTCCACTTTCAAGTAGACTTAATAGCACTAGTAATAGCACTTAGACTTATATACCGCTTCACAATGCTTTACAGCTTCTCTAAGCAGTTTACAGTCAGCATATTACCCCCAACTACCTGGGTCCTCATTTTACCAACCTCAGAAGGATGGAAGGCTGAGTCAACCTTGAGCCTGGTGAGATTCAAACTGCCAAACTGCAGTCAGCTGGCAGCCAGCAGAAGTAGCCTGCAGTACTGCACTCTAATCTCTGCACCACCCCAGCTCTAAACTAAGCTAAATGCCTGCTGAAGGCTGCAATGAGAGTGGGTTTGATAATATAGACGTTTCCTCTTCTGGAGCAGCTTGGCAGATCCCACACTCATGTAACCCTTGCGGTTCCAGAAGATATTTCAGTGTATTCAGGTACTACAGAGAACAAACAGTAATTACCTGTCTTATGATTTGTTAGGTTTTATTTTCTATTATAGTATTTTTTTTCAATTGTTACGTGGGATTTGCTTTTGTTCCTGTACTGGTCTGCATTTGCTCTTGTATGCTTAGAATCTTTTGACAGAAGCCATTTATAAATTAATAAATAAAATAAATTCATCCACCCACCAGTTTTTGTTTCATAATAATGTTTTTTAACTCCTACACTTCATTTGTTTACATGACTTAAATTTGCCTTGAAGCCACTAGTAATCACTGCTTGTGTAGCAATAACTATAATATTCAGATTCCTGCTTCTGGAGTAACATTAATGGATACATAATGATGGACAATTTTTCTTGGTGTAGAAATTCTATGGTTTGTTTTTTTTAAGTTTTGGGCCTCCAAGACATACATTGGGTACAATGATAATTAAATAAATCACTGAAGAAAAGTTAGTCAAAAATTGCTCCATTTATTAAAGAAAACATGTGCATTAACTCCTCTGGCAGGTCACACTGTTTTTGAATTCTGTATAAAAACTGAAATGTAGCCAGCTAATTACTGAATGTAGATTGTGTGTTAAACAGACCAGAATAACAGAGGTGGAAGGGACTTTGGAGGTCTTCTAATCCAACTCCCTGCTTAGGCAGGAAACCCTATACTATTTCAGACAAATGGTTGTCTAATTTCTTCTTAAAAACTTCCAGTGTTGGAGCATTCACAACTTCTGGAGGCAAGTTGTTCCACTGGTTAATTGTTCTAACTGTCAGGAAATTTCTCCTTAGTTCTAAGTTGCTTCTCTCCTTGATTAGTTTCCACCCATCACTTCTTGTCCTGCCCTCAGGTGATTTGGAGAATAGCTTGACTCTCTCTTCTTTGTGGCAGCCCCTGAGATATCGGAACATTGCTATCATCCCAGTACTTCTTTTTATTAAACTAGATATACTCAATTCCAGCAACCGTTCTTTCTTTTTTTAGCCGCAGTCCCCTAATCATCTTTGTTGCTCTTCTATGCACTCTCTCTAGAGTCTCAACATCTTTTCTGCATTGTGGCAACCGAAACTGAATGCAGCACTCCAAGTGCGGCCTTACCAAGGCATTATAAAAGTGGTATTGACATTTCACGTGATCTTGATTCTATTCCTCAGTTTATGCAGCCTAGGATTGTATTGGCTTTTTTTGGCAGCTGCTGCACATTCCTGGTTCATATTTAAATGGTTGTCCACTAGGACTCCAAGTCCCCTCTCACAGTTACTACTATTGTGCCAGGTATCACCTATACTATACCTGTGCATTTGGTTTTTCTTGTCTAAAGATAGAACCTTACTTTTTTTTAACCATTGAATTTCATTTTGTTAAATAGTCTGATAAAATTTGGAGTCATGGCTGTGCTACGTGGGAGGTATTTGGCTGAACAGGGAAAAAGAAAACAAGAAAAACATGCACACAATAGCAGGACATGTTCTCATACATTAAGAAATTTCCTGAAGTAAACTGGTAAGCTCATGAATTGGTATAGCCACCTGAACCCTAAAGTGGCTAAAACTAGTTCCCTATCTGCAGATAATTTCTGGCTGGAATGTTTCAACTTTGAAACCTTTGTATATTCCTAAATATGTTTCCTTTTGGGAACAAGTGGTGATAAGCTGCCAAGGCTGAGAACTGCTCTTCTGCAATAATAAGTTTATATTTTAAAACCAGTTACACTATTTATGTTTATAATATAAACAAATTAGGGTTATATGATGCTCTTGTGAAGTAATTGCACAGTATATTTTATTTACAGTGCTTAACATTGGTAATACATAAATATTCAACAACACATTTAGTTTAAAAGAAAGATATCTTTTAGTACAAAAGCTCAAAATAAATATATTAAAAAATGTTATTCCATCTTCTTTTAAAGGAATGTTTAGCATGCATGACTAAGAGATGGATGAATGCAATATAATTTTCTTTAACAGTTATAAAGATTCTATTTGGCATTATCATGTTTCTATAAAGTTAAAAAAAAAAACTACCATGAATTTTGATAGCAGTCATTCATAACTAGATTTTTAACCAAAATTACAATGGTAATTCTCCCATGATTGTTTTAATTAAAATGGACCTACATAGTGCAATTGGAATATAAGGCAATAAGAATAATTGTGACTGGCTAGTAATTGGATGGAAAATTCACCAGAGACCCCAGAGCTCTAGGCTGGTAAAAAAATCCCCAACATTCAAGTTTCTGGAAGAAACACTGATACAGCAGAACCTTTGGTCATGAACCTTTGGTCATTCGTTCCATAACTTTGGTCGCAACCCAATTTGGTCGTGATCCGAACCTAATTTTGGAAATTTGGTGCTTAAAAAAAATATGGTGTGAAAGGGAAAATTGGCCATGAAAAGAAAGAAAAATGTGAGTATTTTGGTCAGAACCTGATTTGGTCGTGGTCAGAAGCGTTCATGACCAGAGGTTCTACTGTAATAGGAAAAACTTTTGGTGCTATTGCCAAGACAACTGCATGGACATGTCCATGTAATCATGAGAAATCATGATTGACTGAGGATGAGTTTTATTAATGAAAAAGGTGCTTAAATTTTTAGTTCAAAAAATAAAACACTAAGAATTGGCTGAGATGTATTTTTCATAAGCAATTGGTTATATCAAATCCATATGATTTAGTGAACTTTTCTAATTTTAATTAAAGTATGGAGTTTCATCCTCAGAATAAATGTTTTTTTTTTTTTTTGATATATCAAATAATGAACATAGTGTGGAGCGGTATGAACCTCTCAATATAAATTATCCCAGCTGCCATGTCTGGCATGCTATATCTGTCGTATTACATCCATAGCATGATAGGTTGAATTTCTAAAGCTTTCATTACTTGTTTGGGATTTTTTCCCCCCTTTAACCAATGAATGTCATCATTGGGGAAGAAAGCTCATGGGGGGAGTGTTAGTTGATAGTATGAAATGTATCCTATGAATACATAAAGTGTCAGCATCTTGGAAGAAGATGAGACAAAGAGACTTACGGACTAATAAATTAAATTTGTTTCTCATCCACTAGTCTGTCTATCTGTCTGCCCATGTATAGTTCTTCTATCATTCTTCTAACAACCATACTATTTTATTTTGTGATCCCAAAACAAGGACAAATTATCATTCATAATGAATGTGCATAATGTACAAATGCCATTTTCTAGCTCTGGTGATACAGTCTTAACAGGAAGAATTGACTGATCATTTGTACAGACTTACTTTCTGTGCATTATTCAGGTTGTAACATTCTTGCTTTATGGCTTTCCAGCTAACTGTACCAGTACTTAGGACAAGGAACTATGAAGCCCAACTTATCCTAGATCATAACTGTATTGTGCCATACAAATCTATCAACTAGCACCATCACTGGGAGAAAGAAGGAAAGCAACATGCTCTTCTTCCTTTAATGTACACTGATATTAGTAGCAGAAGGAGCAGGTGCCCAAGCTGGATATGTAGAGAGGTTGAACATTGGCTGTGCCCATGTCATAATGGTGAGCATCACAACAGCAACTCCAATGATGTTTATACCAAGTCCAGCTTTTACCTAAAGAAGGAATATATTAAGCAAATGGAAAGTTAATAGAAAGACCAATTTTTCTAGAACAAAGTTGCAAAAATTAAGAGAAGTGAAATAATAATGATTAAAAACTATTATGTACGCATGGATAGCGCTAAATTTTGAATCAGAACAGTCAATAGAGCACTGTTCATCATTTCCTCCATCTAATTTCTAAACACTTATTTCCTCATTTTTAGATTTCATTGCTGGATGATATGATGTGGGTCACCAGATGAAAACTGATGTGGTATATTTTAATACTAAAGTAGATAGACTCTTCTGGCCAGGGAAGTTACTTGTTGGCACCTTGATAACACTGCATTTCAGACCTTTGAATGAGTACCACTGGGCTTCTTATAGAGGCAGGATATAGGGAGAAAGAATGGAGCCCTATGGATTTTACAATGTATACTGTGTGGTTGTGTAGAAATAAAATGATTGTAACGAACTGTCACAAGTTTCCAACCCTCTCCAGAGAAATCCCTTGGTTTGTCTTTTCAAATATTGTTGAAAAGTTCCTTTTAATCCACATAGTCTGATTGAAAGTATCAGTCTAAACAACCAAAATTATTTTAGTTTTTTCTCTAAACTTGAAACCACACTAAATAGTTCTAGAAGATGAGATTTTTCCCAAATAACATCTATAGATGGTTGTCTCTCTTCTAAAAAGAATATTTCCAACAGGGTAGAAATTATCTAAAAGCTCTGGCTCTAGGAAGAATCTTTTCAAGAAAGGTCACAGCACAATCTCTTTCAAAGTCTGTCTCTAAATATCATACATGAAGAGTTTTAAACTCTTTCACGTAAATCCCACCTGCTAGATATAGCTTACCAGACATCATGAGTAATGATTTAGAGAACAAGTGAATTACCTGACTCCTATAAATGCTTTGTCTACTTCTTCAGATTTCCAAAGCTAAATCACAGACTATGACAAGTTCCGCACAACCTTTGGTATTTTTCAACAATGTTGAAAAAGCACTACGCAATCTAAAACCATCTCTATCTATTGGACCGGACGGAATATGTGCCTACTTCTTTAAAAAGCTATCCACTGCCATAGCAGAACCTCTAAGCATAATCTTTGAAAAATCTTTCAGGACCAGCTCCTTGCCTAACCTATGGTCACAAGCCACGGTCATCCCCATCTTCAAAAAGGGAGATCCCAGCCTAGTTGAAAATTACAGACCAATCTCCTTATGCTGCGTCACCTGTAAAGTCATGGAATCAATTATTAACCAATCCATTATCCTCCACTTAGAGATAAACAACCTACTCTCCAATAAACAATTTGGTTTCAGGAAAAAACTATCCTGTAATCTGCAACTCTTAGACTGCAAAAACATATGGACTACACAACTCGATCAGGGCAAAGCAATAGACGCAATCTACATAGACTTCTGTAAAGCCTTTGATTCAGTGGTACATGACAAACTACTCCTAAAACTAAAATCTTATGGTATCTCTGGACACCTGCATAACTGGATAGAAGCATTCCTGTCAAACAGACAACAAATGGTCAAAATTGGGAGCATCCTATCAAATTCTGTACCTGTCAACAGTGGTGTCCCCCAAGGTAGTGTTCTAGGACCAACTCTCTTCATATTCTACATAAATGACCTCTATGATCATATTAAGAGCAATTGCGTTCTCTTCGCTGATGATGTTCAACACCACAGACAATACTGCTACCCTTCAAAAGGACTTTGACTATGTATCAGAATGGTCAAACAAATGGCAACTTCAAATCTCAACAAATAAATGCTCTGTCTTACATATTGGCAAAAAAAATCAGAAAATAAAATACAAGCTGAATAGTCAGCTTGTTGATGATCCAAACTCTGTCAAGGATCTTGGAGTACTCATCTCTAATGATCTAAGTGCTAGAGCCCACTGTAACTTCATAGCCAAAAAGGCATTAAGAGTTGTTAACCTAATCCTACGTAGCTTTTTCTCTGGTAATATCACACTACTAACTAAAGCATATAAAACATTTGCTAGACCAATACTCGAATACAGCTGATCAGTCTGGAACCCACATTATGTATCTGATATTAACACAGTTGAAAAAGTCCAGAAATATTTCACAAGAAGAGTTTTCCACTCCTCTACTCATTGCAGAATACCTTATGCCACCAGACTTGAAATTCAAGACCTAGAAAACCTAGAACTACTCCACCTTCGGTCCGATCTAAGTATAGTATATAAAATCATACATTGCAATGTCCTACCTGTCAATGAATACTTCAGCTTCAATCATAACAACACAAGAGCAAACAATAGATACAAACTCAAGGTTAATCACACCAAACCTGATTGCAGGAAATACGACTTCAGCAACAGAGTGGTCAATATCTGGAATACTCTACCTGACTCTGTGGTTTCTTCCCCAAACCCCAAAAACTTTAACCTTAGACTGTCTACTATTGACCTCACCCCTTTCCTAAGAGGTCTGTAGGAGGTGTGCATAAGAGCACCGACATGCCTACCGTCCCTGTCCTATTGTTTCTTTTTATTTGTCTTATATGTATCCATGTATTCATGTATTCATAATTATGTGTATACTTAATACCTATTATCTTGTAAGCAATTGACAAATCAAAATAAATAAAACTATGTTTGACTAACCTGCCTGTTACTATAAAAGTTATGTTAAGTACTTCGTGGCAAATCTAAGGATGGTGATAATGATGATTCCCAAAAACTGGTCAGATTGCAACATCAAATATAAAATTTAAAACTATTAAAAACATATCACACAGCATAACAGCCTGGAAAAAAGAACCACAACAATAAACACATCTGACAGGGTCTCCACTAGCACATTTGGTCTAAGGACCAAAGCCAGGTCTAAAGAACCCTAAGAGAATGTATCTTTGGAGATTGGTGTACCAAAAGGTAGTGGCAGCAGAACAGAATCCTTCTTTGGTCCCTTAAGATAACAGCATTTAATTGAGGGGACCTGGAACACAACCACTTTTGCCTGAATCTACTGGGCAGGCAAAAATTATCTAAATGGGTGGTTCTACAGGGCTTTCTAGGTAACAACTTAGAAGCTGGAAAACAATTGATAGCCAGTTCAGTTCATCAGTGATATCACATAGGAGTAATAAGAACTGTCTGTTATGGCACAGATCACTTTATTTGGGGCCAGCTATAGCTTCTGGATGGTCTTCAAGGGCAGCTCATCTAGCAGTACATTGCAATAATTCACCACAGTCAACTGCATCAAAAGCTGCTAACACATTGCACAGCACAAGGATGATTCACCATTATACCCAGTTTCTATCAAAGGCCATTGACAAATGAAAATTTGACCAAAACTGTCCAGATAATCTATGTCTTCCAACACCTTCTGTAGCTGCCATCTAACCACCTTTTCTACAACCATCCCCACAATATTGGAATATTGGAAACTGGATGATAATTGTGAAGGATAGGAGGGACATTTATGACCTCTTGAGAATTAAAGTTTCTTTGATGCCAACACCATCAACACATATAATAGATATCATTACACTTTCTCTAGTATTCTCAATATTGTTAACATTTGAAAAAAGTTCACAAATTATTCTTTTCTTACTGTTAACTTACCATATCAATAACTTTCAGGTGACCATAAGAAAATACAATGGCATTGGGTGGGTTTGCTACTGGTAGCAAAAATGCAAATGATGTACAGAGGGTTGTTGGTATCAATATATAAAGTGGGTTAACATGGATGGCTTCAGCCTATTAGATAAGCAGATGTCAAGAGAAATTCAGGATTATTAGTTAATATTTACTCACTAGAAGGACAAATTTGATCTGAAATTGGAATTTTCTAAATGTATTGAACTATAATTCCTATCAACTCCAAAATGAGACTGCTAATGAGGATGAGGGAAACTAATCCAGTGCATCTGGGAAGCACAAATTTGGGTGAAGCTGCAGGAAAGATTAAAATCCAAGGAATAATATTACTACCGGTACTGTAATTATTAAATGAACATTTAAATGATACATACCGTTTAAAATAGAACCAAACCTTTATAATCATTATTGCTTATATTGTTCATATTAATCTTCCATAAGGAAGATTGTGACTGGGAATGTAAAATCTATAAATGATCTCATAATTTCTTATTTTTTCTGTACTTTGTATAATATTGCTCAACCTAAAAGGGAATCTTAAGGGTTTCTAGCTATGAAGATTGGTAATTCTCTACTGTTCCAGTTGAAGACTCCTTAATCAAAACATCCATGATAGGCCTATAAGTTTGTGATATATATTAGCTATTTGCATAATATAAAATGCTTCCTTATTCTTATATAAGTACATTTTATTACAAATGTGAAGTAAATTAATCATAACTATAAGGAGAATGGATTTATTATAAACTCTTGTTGATCTTAGTTGACCTGAAAAACTAAGCACAATCAGAGCTCCTTAATAATTGGATGGATAACAGCACGAAAATCTCAAGGCTATTGACTGTCACAGGAATTAGACAATTTTATATATTATGACAAAACTACATAAAGATACTAAGGAGAGAAATATCTCTATAGGTAGAGTATTATATACCACCCAGAGTCACTGTGAGTAAGTTGAGCAGCCATATAAATTTGTTTAATAAATAAATATAATGAATAATTCAAAAACTCTTTTAAGATGTGATCTTTATGCATCTCTGAAAATACTATAGAAGCAAAAGCTTTAAGCTTCAATTATGCCTTTGCTTAAGAGTCAAATAAACATTGATTGTTTTTCTTTCCGAACTTGTTATAGCTCACAAAACTAACAAAGAAAAACCCTATTATGAATTATTCACAATACTTTACTCTCGTAGTCTTGAATTCAGTAATCATATATAACTAATCATTCTGTTTCTCCATTTACTGCCATTAATTCATATTGCAAAACTCCTGTTTTAAATTCAACCTCTTAGTGATCTTTAACTGCTATGACTATAGATCAGCTGTTTCAAACCTAAATCAGATTACTTACCAAGGGAGCTAAGATAGGCAAAAATATAGTGATTGTAGCAGGATTGCTAGCTACTTCAGTTATTGTGGTCACGATCAAAGATGAAATGAGAATTATTAGCCATATGGGTTGTGATCCTAATGGGGTTAATTTGCTTCCAATCCAGGCTGAGAGTTTTGAGTCCTGGAAAAAACAATAAATGCTTAGTTATCTATAAATTTCATTAAACAATTCGTGTAAATGTAATTTAACCAAATGGCTTCTTAATCCAAAAGATCAATATGGAAGCAGAAACAGAGAAGAGACCCGTCCCTACAATATGATTTATTTTTCCTTCTAGCAAAATATATTCATACCACAGAGAATGCTCAGCCTGAGTGAGTGGATATATTTTAGCCACCTAATAGTGTGTAACATTTTGTATAGATAACCACAGCTGCTTAGATGCCAGATCTGATAAACTGCAACCATATCTGCTTTCTTTCAGAGATTCTTGATGTGTGTGGATGACCCTTAAATATGTTGATGAGTGTGAAAATGCTAAAGGGAATATTTGCTTGAGACCCATTTTATAAATTGTAAAATAACAATTGGAGGATTATAGAACAATCCTAATAATATACTTGTACCAATGGAGAAATGTTCAAGGTAAGTATGTTTTGGATCATCTCTTAGATTCAAACAGCTTAGGTTTAAGTCCTTTATTTTTTAACCTCAGTCGTGCATAGTGGAAAGAATGATAATGAGTCCACATGAAGAATAAAATTATTTATATGTTATAGCATTAATACATAAAATAGTTCTAGTTTAACAAGTAGTTCTCCAACACTTGCACATAGATTAATCCTCTATCTAAATGTTACAGCATTTTTTTCCTGTTGCAGTAATGTGAACCAACGTTTTCCCTTGAGATTGAAATAGCCCCTCTTTTGATTTATAAATGAAGAAATAATGTAATTAGAACATAATCATGACATTGAGTTGATAAGGATTTATTTTAATTTATCAATAATATCAGAACCTGGTTATCATTGGATTTGGATATAGTTCCAACATAGCCTGCTGAGATCA